CACAAAACACTATTTTTTTGTGGCCAAACTACGATTGTGGTGGTAGCCAATTACGACTTTTACAATCACAAACGACAATAGTTGTAGTCCCAACTACTCTTATATCCTTGTATATGTCAAGATATTTCAAAGCAATCATGATTTCAATATAATTTTATAATTTCATCTTTCTTAAATCAGAAATAATAACTGCACGTATTAATATTTAGAATTAATTATATTTATCTTTCCCATAAATAATTAATATCACATATACTTTTTGTAAATTTCTACTTTTTTACAATGAGGACATATAAGAAAATTTGTCTTTGGGAGCAACTAGGCACATTCTAGGCTCTAGTAATTTCTTATAAATAGTTAATATCACATACATTTTCTATATTTCATTTACCAAGGATTACACATATATATAAATACACATTAGAAAAACAAATTATAAACTTTATAAGTGGCCGAATAAGAATTAATAAAAATATATAATTTTATATAAATAATATATTCATTCGCTACATGAAATAAACCAATATGCGTACGATTTATCGTTAGAAATTTTTCATCGCAATTTTTAGCATCGTTTTGCTTCTATTTATCGTGGCAGGTTAGGGATAGAAATATTTGCGTGCGTCTGATAGTTTATATAGAGAGTATTAAATGTTATATTTGCGTTATACCCCATATAATTTTTCTATAACCTAACTGTAACATAATTGTAACAAGCAAGTTCCGCGTTTCTGTTTTCATATATTTGTAAGTTACAGGTAGGTTATAAGGAGGTTACATGGGGTATAACGGTGATATAACCCTCAATATCTTCCATGTAACCTACCAAACGTACATAACGCTGCGTACGTAATATTTCTCGGGATACAGGCTCCAGGCTCCATTACCTCATGAAATAGAAAAATTATTGTATACATACACCACATGCAGGGATGAATGCGGCGTTCAATCTTGACCGTAGATGCAATCAATTTTTTTTAAAAAAAAAAATTTAAGTAGAGCCCACCAAAATATATCATGACCGCAAGATCAGTGTATGCATGCAATAATTTTTCCCCAATTTTAACAAGAACATAATCGTATGGAGTTCATAGATAACAAAATCAAGAATGTAAAACAAGATAGAAAACCCGGCCATCAAATAAAAAAATGAAGAAATTAATCAGCAGAGAAGCTCTGAGAAATTTAAAATAATTAGTTGGAACGAAATTTGCAGGACATAAACAAAAACAAAAACAAAAAATCAGATTCTAATTCTGTTCCAGTAATTTAAAAAAAAAGAGAAAACAGTAGCAAAGATAATATAAAACCTAAAAGTGGTAGAGAACCCTACGGAGAACTCGCTCACAATCAGATTAGCACTTCAATAAGTATAGGTCCGTCCCTATTTTCATCATCGTCGTCCAAATCCCCTTCTCTGTCATAACCATCCTTCTCGCCAGGAAACAAATCTCCATCAATAATGCATCCTCTCTTACCCCCAAAGCCCGATTGGATCCCTTCTCCCTCATCTCCATCTCCACCCACAACCAAAACCCTATCAGTGTCCAGCATCCCACCTCCGGCCCCAATCACGACCACATCATCCTTAGCGCCTTCGCTCCCCGCCTCATTCCTCTCATCACCGCAGAACGGCCTCACCTCATCTCCGCAGGACGGCGTCACCGGCGGTAATATCTCGCCGAATCCGCGGAGTTCGTCGGAAATCTCGCCGTTGCTTGGTCCGGGATCTTGAACGCATCCACCGCTTTCGCGATCGAAGGAGACGCGAGATTTGAGGGAAGTGGTAGCTCGGGAGAAGGCTTCCCTGATCGATTCCATCGAATGCGAGCCGAGGAATCTCGCCATTACTCCTTCTTCTTCTTCTGCTCCGAATTTCTCCATCGTCTGCAACTCGCTCGAATGTCGAAAGAAGCAACGGAGCGGAATGATGGAAGCGGGGTTGTTTCGATGGAGGCTATTTTAATAGGAGGATTTATTATATTTACATAAATACCTTCCAATAATTATGTATTTAGATTCTCGAACTTAAATTTTACCTTTTTATATTTATACCAGCTTAATCTTCATACATGTAATGTGAGATGATAGATATGTAAAATTTAAAATTTTGGTGTTAGATTTATAAATATATAGGAATTGAATGGTATATAAGTAAAAGTTTTATTAAATTCAGCCAAAAATCAAAATATAGGAGCTCATGGATTTATGAATTTTCATATTTAGTAAATTCAAAATTGCCTCTCATTTGGTCTTAATTTAGATTTACTAAAATTAGGGGATGGGCGAATATAAATGTTTAAGGATTTAGAGATTTTCTTAATTTATAACGTTAAATCCTAATTGCAACATAACAATCCCCTGATAATCTCATCCCTACTTTCTCCTTTCTCTCGATGGAAAAATTATTCTATACGGACACTGTATGCGATCTCTGACGTCCATAAAATTTTTTAAAAATAAAAAATGAAGCCCACCGAAATACATCTTTGCTCTGATAAACGGTGAAGATCAGACTCGATGGCTTAATAAAAGATGGTTGACATGTGCATTTATTTATGACATAATAATTAAGTGTTTAATATTTTATTTTAAATAGAGGCGCAAGTTTGTGGGTGTGGTTTTTTTTTTTTTTTTTTTGGCTTCTTTTCTAAAAAAAACAAGAACTAGATTATAAATGTAAAAAATAAAATTTTAGAATTAATTGTGAGATTAAAGAATATGCGTAAAGAATATGTGTGTGTGTGTGTATGTATATATATATATATATATATGTATATATATA